GGCCGCCGCTGTTTTTCCTGGAGCTCTCGCCCTGGTGGCCGCTGCCCCCCCCCGCCTCCTCGCCCCTCCGCGTCGTCGAGGAGGGGGAGGAGGAGGAGGAGGAGGAGGAAGATAGAGGAAAAAGAACTATGCACATACACCGATTCTGGCCAGGCCCATCCTGAGCCCAGGATCGGTGCATAGGCCCTCCTACCTTGGCCAGGAAGGCATCTGCACCGATCCTGGGTCGAGGATGGGCCTTGCCAGGACCGGTGCATGTGCATAGTTCTCTTCGCCCGAAAGGAGGAGGAGGAGGAGGAAGGAGGGGGAGGGGGAGGAGGAGGGCCGCACCGCTCGGCGGCGAGCCGCCCCCGAGGAGGAAGGAGTTTGCCGGCCGGGGCCTCCCTCCCCCTCCTCCCTCCCTCCCTCCCTCTCCCTCCCTCCCTCCCCCTCCCTCTCCCTCCCTCCCCCCCCTTCCTTCCCCTCCGCCCCTGGCGCGGGGTGCCCAGCAGCGAGGGCCCCCCCCGCCCAGCCCCCGAGCTCAAAAGCCGGCCGCCCCCGAGCTCAAAAGCCGCCGGCCTGCGCGAGCCGTGAGGCCGGGCGCGCGCAGGGCGACAAGGGGAGCGCCGCGGGCACGAGGCGCAGCCGGAAGTCCAGGAGGCAGGAGTGCACCATGATGCCCACGCTGCAGAAGGCCGCTGGCCCCAAAGGGCGGCCCGCGCGGGGCGAGAACCCTAATTTGAGGGATGAAAAAACGACCCTACCCTGGGTTACAAGTGCGTGGTCTGTAAACCTCCTGGGACCCCCCAAAGCCTAGAGCCGTCAGGACGCGGCACATCACGCAGGGTTTACCCTGTCAGCCCACAGGAGTTTCAGCGCACAGCGTCTCGTAAACCAGGGTAGGGGCGTTTTTGTATGCCCTTGACTAATGGACGCACATGCGGGCAAGATTTATATCCACATCCAGTGCGCCTTCGATTTTTTGGGAAGGGGCGCCACGAGGCCGACGTGCACTGGACATGGATAAAAATCTAGCCTCTGGGGGGCAAATGTGTCCATATCCACTGCGCCTCGGGTTTCTGGGGAAGGGAGCCCGGAACTCCATACTGCTGTGGATATGGACATAAGTACTGCTCCCAGCACAGAGACATACTAGTACTATATGTCCTCCTTGGAGGCGCGCGTCTGACCCGAAGAGATAGTACACCCATCTTGTAGCATGGCGCTTCCCGAGCGGTGTGGCCAGACAGCGACCGCCACGGAGCGCAAACAATGATATTTCTCAGTGCGCGCGTCGCCCCTTGGTGGGGCGACGCACACATAGTGCTAGTACGTCAGGGTGAAGCCGACCAGCGACCCTCCTGGGCCCGAAGGGATCAGCATTGAGGGGAATCAGATGGTGCCGATATTAACGCTAGACCCCCCAAACCTCTTCCACGGGTGCCTTCTGACCAGCATTTCGAGGCGAAGCCAGCGGGGGCGACGAGAGCCTCACGGGAAGGGCCCCAAGAGGGAACAGCAGGAGGGAAGGGTAGGGGTAGAAGTAAGGCGTTGGGGGTACCCTTCCCTCCTCTGAGCGCGGGGGGGGCGAGAGCCCAAGACTTAGATGCTCATTCTGGGGACCTTCCTTGGACCACTCGCTTTACTCGTGCGTCGAAGCTGCGTCGAACCCGAAGCGGATCTGAGTCAAACCCGAGTCGAACCTAAGTCGAACAGATCCGTTAGGTCGGCCCCAGGAAGGTCCCCCAAACGAGCATCGAGAAAGACCCTCCTGGGCCTGAAAGGGGCCCGCGCGCCAGCCCGCAACCCGCGGGGCGCGCGGGCCATGGAGGGCCCGTGCCCTGCGCGCGGGGCGCGCGCGCGGGCCGCGGAGGCCCCCCATCGGGCAGGCCCCGCGGGGGCCTGCCTGCGCCCCTCGGGCCCGGCGTGCGCCGCTGGAGTGCCCAGCGCGCTGGCCGTGTCGGGGGCGCCCAAGAAGAGGACGACCTACCAGACCACCCCAACCCAACCCGAAGACCCGAATTTGTCCCGAATTTCGGGTTTGGGGGGGGGGTACGGGTTTCATGTTGTTTTTGTTTTTTTTGATTTTCCCCGACCCCGCCCCCACTGGAGATGAAGGGAAAATTGAAGCCTTCGGGTAGGGTTGGGATCGTTTGGTGGGCGTCCAAGAAGAGGGGGGGCGTGCAACGGCGTGAAAGAGGGGGGGGGGCGCGGCTCATGGCCGGAGGCACGTGCGCGGCCCAGGGGGGCGGGGGGGGGGCCAGGGGGACGCATGACCGAGACGAAGAAAGGAGCGCCAGGAAGTCTGGGGAGGCGGCATAGCCTCCGCCACGACACCCACCCCCGCCAGGCAGTCTTTTGCCAAGCATGCCAATGTCAGTGCAACGAACAAGGCATTATTTGTATACCCGCCTCAGGCTCGCCTGGCAACGGCTATGCCGCGCCAGGATCGCCGAGAAGCAGTTGACTGCGCAACTTCCTTTGGTCTCCTTTGTGGTTTAGGACTGAGTATGCCCACTCTTTCGGGCACCCCTGGTCCAGTCCGTCTCCAGCGTTTCGGCGTGTGGCCGGCGATCCTCTTCAGGACCTGCCACAACCAACCGCACGGGACAGGCCGACGCTGTCACGAACGACACCTCTGTTTCCGACTGTGCGAAAACAACACGCGTACTCTTGAATGCAAAGATACACTGTGTCTGGTCGTATTCTGGGACCCTTTCGTGCACACCAACATTGCCAGAAAATGTTCAGCCAGGCTCTGAGAACCTGCTGCTTTGGCCTTCAAATAAGGGAGGAAAGAACTCAGGCACCAGGCCCCTTCATGGTTGGTCGCCCCCGACTCCGTAGCTTCCACCGCCCCTTCCCTGGGCTCCGCGTGGCCGTAAGCGGGGGTCGTCATGTGGCAAGCCGTCGGGAGGCCAGCAGCATTACAAGGCCTCAGCTAGTTCTGTCTCCAACGGGGTCACTCGTGACTCAAACGATGCAGAAACCAATCTAGGATGAACACGCGAGTGCCTAGCACGAGCGAAGCGTGCTGCACCTGGTACCCAAGTGTGCGAAAGCACCGTAGACTGGAGCATGAACGTCGAATCCGAACTGAAATATACCCGCCCGCCTGACGACATCAGGTGCATACCTGTTACCACCGTGGAGTCGTCAATTCCTAACGGTGTTCGTCTCGGAAGCCTGTACCTCAGCCACGAGAGACCAGCGGGGTGTGTTTGAGACGAGTCGTTTCCTAGCAACGTCGGATCCAAAACACAATACAAAAGAAACTAATGGAGCGCTTCTACAACCTGTGGTTATCACACCTCGCTCATCGCTTCTCTCTCCTCCGCCCTCCCTACACCCTTAACCCTCCTCCCTCATCCTCCCTCACCCTTCCCGCTGCTTCTTCCTCCATAAACTATAATCTCGAATGCCGAAAGGTCCCTCCCTCCCCCCCTCTCTCCCTCTCACCCTCGCCCCTCCATTGAACTATCCCTCTCTGCCCTCCCTCTCGACCTCCGCCCCCGCTCCCTCCGAAACACATCACAACGCGGAACCGATCCCGCGCTGCCTCTTCTGCCCCGCCTCATGCCCCACCCCCAATCCACCTCCGCTTTCCGCTTTCATCCGTGCTCTCTCGCCCTTTCACTAATCCCGTCGACTATCCGTATCATTCCTCGTCGTCGTCCTCAAGATCATCCACACCATACTCTCCGTGCTCTTCGTATCCCCCAACCCATTCCTGAAGTAGGAAGGCGCCCAAAGTAGATTGGAGCTTGGACATCCAAGCGTTCCTGCGTTCATCGAAGGAGGAAAAAAACCATAACATAAACTGTGGCGCTCCGCGCGGGGTTTCTTGAATCCGCGCCTCGGACCCCCTGGCGGCGCCTCCAACGCCGCCCCTGGCGCGCTCCGCGCGCCAGGGAGGGGAGTCCAGCGCAGATCCAAGAAAGCTGCGCGTAGCGCCAAAAGTTGTTGCTTACAACTTTCTTTCTCCGAACTCAACGACCGATGTGTACCCCTCCTCCGCCCACGGTTCCCCTCGACAGCCAGATCTGCCGCCTGCCCCCGCTCTGCCCATCTCTTGCAGAACGCTCGCTGCGCTTCCTGGCCCTCCTGCCCGCGCTCCTCCGCCATGCTTTTCCTCGTGGTCCTGTTGAGCAAAGACCGACCGTCCTGGCATGCCCTACCACGGAACGTGCTGTAAACCCCCAAATGCTCGAAGAACAAAACTAATGTTAGAACACAAGCCCGATCAATTGAGAAAAGACGGTCTCAGCCAGAAACGTTCTAAGAACAGTTCGTGCAGACCACACAAGGTTATCATAACATGATTTGGTGGGCCGATGGGCCAGCCAGGGCGCGTCGCCACTGATTGATCCCTTTCCCCTCTCCACATCCTCCACCCTCCCCTGCTCGTCCTCTTGCTCATGACGGCCTCCTAGACGAGGTCGGAGTAGATGGTGTCGGAGGATCCCGCCGCATCGGCGATGCATCGGCAACGCATCGGCGATGCATCGGCTATGCAACGGCGATGCGTCGGCGACGTCGGCGATGCATCGGCGACGCCCGCGCGAAGCAGATCGGGTTCTGCATCGAGCGGCATCGCCGATGCATCGCCGCGGCATCGGCGATGCGGCGATGCGCCGAGGCCTAGACTCATGCGCTCTGCCACCAGCCCTGCTCCTGGTTCTCTCAGCCTGCTCCTCCCGCTGCTGCTCCTCCCCCCCTTGCTAACCAGCCTCGAACGTATCCCTATCCCTAAGATGGGCGAGCAAAAAGCGAGGACAATCTTAGGGATAGGCCCTCAAAAACTGAGGAAATCCTTAAGATCGGCATCGAAGTGAGTGAGGTGATGTCAAACATAGGGATAAGGAAATGCTCCGGGCTGGTGGCTTACCGCAACGGTGCTGCGACGCAATCCCCTCGCGACGGGTTCCCCCCCCGGGCGGCCCTCGGCGAAGCCGCGCGCATAGTTCTCCTCGAACACGCAGGGGCAGTACGCGTGCATGGGCTCGGCGGCGCCGCAGAGCCTTCCGCGGCCACCGCGGCTCCCTCCTCCTCCTGCTGCTGAGTGCTCCGTGCGTCCACGGCGACCCCAGCTTGAATGAATTCGCCTTGCTGCCATAAGTTATAATTGAAAAATGCTGTTTCGAAGTGTGTGTTCATCGTGAAGCTACTATATACATATATAATTTAAAATGTATAAAACTGGAAAAGCCAACAACCACATGGTTTATGTGGATGTCTCAACATGTTGCGGGGTGAGCACGAACATGTTCAGAGGCGGAGTTCATTGTTGATCTCTGGTTGTTAACCTGTTGAACTCTGGTTTTTACCCTTCGAAGCTGTTGGATCGAGATGTTTACAACGCGGTCCTGCAAAACGCAACTAACATACATATACACACATATATGTGTATGTACGTGGGCATACATGTCACATGCGTCATGGCCCTGGAACTCACAGAAGAAGCCACCGCCCGTCGTGCCCATGTCGACGTACATCTCACGCGCGTCGTGGCCACCCACACCCAAGGCCCGCCCGCGCAACTGATTTCGGTGCACCCTCACACGCCTCACATCTACAGTTCTCACAACGACATATAGTTCGGTCGTTCGCCAGGCGCGTTTCCCCAAACATGATTATATTGTAGATCTCACGGTACGGCTGCACATGCCATGACGTTTCTGCTCAGCGTCAATGAAGGGGCAGATAACCAACTTGACCAGCCCGTCCTCATTCGCGTGGCGAACGCCAACCGAAGCCAACTTCGTGGAGACAATGTCGTCGCGCTGATCGCTGAACAATCGCGGGTCATCCAAGGAAACCCAAGTCCTGGTTCGTCCGGTTGTAGCTGGGGGCCCGCAAGAGCTGCTCGCGTCTGGGCACGCCAGCCCCGCGCCCATGCATGGGCTGCTGATGCTCGTGTGTGAGCGCGGTCGGCCGTTGGTCACAGGCGTCCTGAAGCGCATCCTTCATGGCGCCCGTCAGTAGGCTGTTCCGAATAACATCTGGCAGGGGGACTGGGGTCGCACTGAATGTCGCTCCCCTTGCTTCCCCTCCACCTCCACGCAACGCAGGATGGACCGTTCAAGACGCTAGTGTGCTGCACTTAGAGGGGTGGAGCCTCGGAGAGCCTCAGAGGGGCGTGGAACCTCGGGTGGGTGTGGGGCCTCAGAGAGCCTCAGAACGTTATCAACACCCTGCAACCGTGGAGAGATGCAGAGCACAGCCCGGCTGCCACGAAGACAAGCCCATGATCTTCAAGCGGATGCTGCTACACATGTTCGTGCAGACATGCAAAGTCTTTTCGCCACGGCCCTGGACATCGATCAACTGAGATACATCTTGAATATCCTGGACAATGGGCGCGGCGGACGCCACGACGGATGCGCCGCGCCGCAAAGCGCCCGCGAAGCGCCAGCGCGCGGCTGAGGTGGGAACGGCAAAGGGACATGGGTGGATGTTGCAATGATCTATGCGCATGTAGCACTGACCGCATGAGGTCCACGGCGACGCTCGTCTTTACGCACGTCGCATACGATGTGCATGTAGCACTGGCCATGTGAGGTGCGCGACGACGTGCGTCGTGCCTGTGCACGTAGCACAATCCATATACGATGTGCAGGTAGCCCTTGCCATGCGAGCTCATGCGGCATAGGGCACTGCAGAGATGAATGCGTCGTTGCGTTGGACCGGCGCAGTCTCATCGACGCGTAGGGCGGTGCGCTCGAGAATGAGAAATTGGGGGTCGGTCTGGATTCCGCGCCTGAGCGAACCGGCTTGTTCGCTTGCCATTCAGCGCGCTGCGCGCGGGCGAGGCGCAGGCGCGCTGCGCATCGCGCCCGCGCCATCCTAGCAACGAACTTGGCGCTCACCTGCAACCGACCTCGGAGCCTTCGGCGTCCTTGGCGGCGAGCCCGTCGTGCTTGACCCAGCTGCGATCGCTGATGTCACCCTCTGGCGTTGGGTGGTCCTTCCCAGGTTATGTTGTTCCTGCTGCCGCTGCTGCTGCTCCGATGCCGCGCGCGCGCTGCTGCTGGCGCTGCTTCCTCGCAGCGGCTGGCGCCCCCTGGCCCGACGACGCCTCCAGAACGTTGGCCGCCGCGACTGCTGCGTGGATCCGAACGACCGCCTCCTGGTCGCCCTTCTCCAAAGCTTTTTTGATCTCGCGAACCCCCGCTCGAAGTTCAGCATCCAGCGTGCCAATGCGATTCTGAAGGTTCTCCAGCTCAACAACGCGCTTGTGCATGCCGCCGCATGCTCGCGCAGACCACAAAACGTCGAGTGAATGGTCACTATGAACTTCTGGGTGGCGGTGGTGGCCTGCTGAGGGGCCCCTGGTAGTGGTGCGTTCCTCTTCGGCGGTGGCGGCTTGAAGGGGATGTCCTGCGCTAGGCGATTCATCGGCGGCGGACGGCGGGGTGGTCCGCTCTCGGGCGGAGGGTAGCCAGGGGGCGCTGGCTCGCCCGTCATGGCTCTTGAGACTCAATGCCTATGGCATCGAGGGCCACCTAGTCGAACTCACGCTCGTGCTGGAAACCGCGCACGTGGAGCTCGCGCTCGCCGGGCGCCGGCTCCCACGGGCCAGATGCATGCCCCGAGGCGGTCTACAGCGGCCCAGACGCAGCCCCCATTTCGCCCCGAGACGATCTGACCACCCGGCCCAAGACAGGCCAAGGCGCCCCACAACTACACATCATCTCATACTAATGTTGATTATTGAACTTCACAGTTGGTTGCATCTCATCCTGGTGTCGATTGTTGGATTCCACAATCGACACCATCTCATCCTCTGGTGTCGATTGTTCAACTCAACAATCGACGCCGTCATAACCTGGTGTCGGTTGTGGTCGATTCAGACGTCCCCCACTGCGTAAGCGGCAATGGTAGCGCCCCGCCGGATGGCCACGCACCATCCGAAGGCGCATCCAAATACATGTCAGAGTCCCCCGAAGCTCCCACGGGCACCCTCTCCTGAGCTGCGGCGCGACAGCGTGCGAATCGGAGCGAGCGGAAGCGGGCGTGTAGATGACGACGGGAGGGGTGGTCTGGACGAGCGGAGGTGGACTGGGGGCGCGGACAGGAGGGCGTGGGCTGGAGAGGCGGGGGCGAGGAGAAAAACGGTTTCACTCCAGCTGCGGTTGCGCACAGCATGCCATTGGAGCGTCATAGACGGCGGCGCGAGCGAATGCGAGCAGACCGCCAGCACCTGCAGCCGCGCTGCGAGGTGGCGCCACCAACGCAGCGACGCAAATGGTTTGGGACGACAAAAACGGACGAAGTCGCAGTGCCACTACGCGCCGCGGCGCGGCACATTGGACGAGCAGTTGCAGTGTTGTGACACATGCGTAACCAAATATCCCTCTGCATGGCTAATCCTATGGGCCAGGGGCAACAAACAAACCATGCAACGTGTTGCTCGAAGACTGGCCCGAGTGCGGTCTGCGATGCGCATATATATATATATGCATGTATGTTTATATGATATTATGTTAGTGTGTTCATGTTGCTGTGCCGCCCCCGATCTGAATCTCTGCACTGTTGCGTGTGGCCGTCTGTTTGCCATGAGCTACTGCTCTCGCGCCGTCTTACTGCGACAGCACCTGTTCTTCCAGTGGGCTGTGCCACAGCGCGTTTGGCTCGGCACACGCGTGGCTCCTGCGCGTTTTCACGCTCGTCGGCCGATCGGTTAAACGGCAGGCGCGACCGCCGCATGCGACGCCATTGCGTCGGCGCGCTTGTACTGGCCAACCTACACGTAAGCGCAAGAGCACACGCGGCGTGGGCCACGAAGAATGGCGGTGCCTCATCAGAGGCCATGCGGTGCTGCCCTATCAGCTGCATCGGCAGCATGCCCCTGCCACCAGTTCAGCTGCTCGTCTGGGAGGCCCCGGCCGATGTACATCTCCTTCGCGATCTGCAAAGTGCTCGCGAAGGTGGCCCAATCAGGCTGAGTCTGCCAGCCCGCCACGGCAAGCGCCCCAATAAAGTTATTGTAGGTGGCGCTGTCCTCCTACGCGGCCTGCGCGAGCTCGTGCAGCATGACGACCCCGCGCCTGATGGAGACCGCTGGACTCCTCTTCGTGCTCCAGTGCGGGATGCGAGCGACCTCGGGGGACGTCTGCGGCTCGCCTCGGCGCGACGGGCACCGCGCAAAGTTGCCCCCCTCCGACCCGAACTCCTTCTTATCGAGTGTTCTGCTCTTCGTAATGTACCGCCCGCGGTGGTCGACCTCCTTCATGTGGTCTTTGCGCCACAAAAAAAGCTTTTCCTTGTTCAGCCACTTCCCGTCTTTCTGTGGCGGCTCCTGCCTGAAGACCGCGGAGCCATCGATCGTGCCGGTCTTCCAGCAACGCCCAGGCACCTGCATGGTGGCCCCGAGCGCACGAACCACCAACACGGTGCACCGCTTGACGCAATCTCAGTGGAACCGCCTGGGATGGTGATAGTGAGAGGGCGCCGAGCGGCACGACCAGGTGGTCGGCGGTGAAATCGAAAACGCCGCAACCTGCCAACTCATCATGTTTTTACGTCTCCTTCCCCCCCGCGTCAGCAGGGCGATGAAGGAGCGTCTCGTCCACGATGCTGATGACCATATCAGTGGACATGTCCTGCTGTGAGCCTCGCGTGGTTTTGAGCATCCTGATTCTCGAGCGCGAGAGATACCCGTACCCTTACCTAGACAGGGTGGTAAGAGGCCGGGGGGGCGGTTCGTCGCAGGTGACGGCGGCTGCACAAGTGTAGAAGCGAAAGCCGATCGAGTATTACAGACCGCCGTCTTCTCGGGGCGCACGTTAGCACCGATCGCGCGTGCGTTCGAATCGGCGGGGTGCCCGACCCTGCGTTGGTTGTTGTCGATGTAGACCAGCTACTGCGGAGGCGCGCCCCCAGACACACATCCGGGCGTTGAGGAGTCAACGCGCACCCGGGGGCGCATTCGAACAACTCTGGCGCGAACGTCATTGCGCGACAACCGCCCTATCGCGAATTGCTCGATGCAAAGACATCGCGGATCTGTGCCCTGGGC